TCATTGCGCCTCTTTGAGATAGTTCGTGTTTGGAGGAGAAAGCAGACCGCAGGAGAATGAAAGAGTGAGGAAAACCGACAGCGTCCGCAGCGCGTCCTGTCTCTGCGTGCGATGACTCGACTATAAATGCTCTTACATGATGATGAAATCGATGTGTTCGAAGCGCGGTTTGATTGAAACCATGCCGTAAAACTCGATCCATACATCCACGTATGTGTTTATAACCGATAAATACACCTGAAACAAGAAATCAAAAGATTTCAAGGTGCGAAATGTTCTTCACAAAGGATGGGACTTACCAGCTTCTATATCCGGTTCCAGCAATGATACACATACCGTTGAACATGGAACTGTCGGCATACCACGTTCATTGCCTGGATCTCGACACCGATCTGTGAATACCTAAAATTTGAAAAGTCAAGCACAACTTGCTTAAATAAGGTTTGAACATTATAAATTAGCCTTCACATCTTTATAGGCGATTATTTGGGCACCCTGCTCAGAACAACTGACCGGAACTTCTGCAGAAGTTTGTGAAAGCCCCGCCAGGCCACCTGCGCAAGTTCCGTAAACGTGGTGCAGAAGATGCATCATAAGATACAACACATTCAACATCCTGCGGAAATACTGGCATGCCAAAGTGCTGCGGAACCACTGGCATTTTTCGGAGTTTCCGCAGTATTTTATGAAGGTCCTGCGAAAGTTCTCGTTTTAACAGTCTGACGTGAAACCCCGCGGAAGTTCCCATTTCAACGTTTTCACTTTTATAATAGTAAACAAAACCCTGCGGAACCGCTGCAAATTTTGGTTGTCTTGCAATTTGTCTTGGAATTTCCGATGGATTGTCTGGGTATGGGTTTTTTATCACCTTTTCCATTATTCTCCGAACAAACAAAAAATTGCATGTTTCAGCGGCTGTAGTTAGGCAGATGATCTCATACTCATGCGATGCGTTTAGGACACAGTCTACTTTCGTAGAATGTGGCAAATAACAGAAAATGAATGTAAGCTGGTGAGATGACGATTAATTTAAACTACATTTGTAATGTTTTATTTTACGTTTTCCTACGTTTTCTAGCTGGGAAGCTATGGTCAGTAGAATTTTCATTTTTAAAGTAATCTCATTTGTCCATTTTTGTATATGAACTGCACCTTTTACAATTTAAAAGTGGTGTTTCAGACTTTGGTGGAAAACAATGATAGATAGGGG